GTTTTGTTTTTGGGAACAAATTCTGCAACTCTTTTAAATCAAAAGAATTTACTCTGAAAATGTTTAAAAAGCATAAATGAAACCGGTCTTTTCTGGCCGAGGTTTTGGGGATGTCACAGCAAAGTGGTATCTCGTAAGGATGTGTTTTGTCCTAGTACGAGACACCATATTCTTCGCGAGATGAACTACACTCTAAGGTGTTGTTTGTTTTTTTGGAAAAAACCTCTTCAGACCTCTTATTGTTGCGCGACGCAGCACACACGTATCACTTTTCATCTCGCAGCAGTTTGTTTTTTAAAAGTCTTCGGAGTAAAAAACCTCTGCGCGTGTGCTTCGCCGCGCAACACTTGTATTGCCTCTTACAACCTCTTCTTCTTTATTTATTTTTGCTGAAATATTATTTCACATTTTTTTTGTTTTTTTTTTGTTTTTGTTGATTTTTTTTTTCATTTTTTTTATATTGAATAATGATAATTTCTTGATGAAATATAATTATTTTTTGCTTAAATATATTTTTTTTTTGTTGAAATACAATTATTTTTTACTGAAAATCATAAATTATTGCCGAAATGTCATATACTATTAAATTTTCGGTATTAAAAAACTATTTTCACTTTATAAAATCAGTTTATTTTTAATTTTTTAATATCTGCAGCAGCATATAGATGTTAAAAACAAATACGTTTCTTATTACAGTATGCAGCCGCTTGGTCCATCTCTTCTACTGCATAGGGTTGCTGAGGTGGTCCGCAGACTTCATGAATTTTTGCTTCAGAAAAACTGCACCTAAATGTCATAATGAATAATACACTCAATGTCACAATGAAGAATGCCCTTTTCATGTTTCATGTCTAACTCTAATGGTAGTTTTTCAACCGTATAAGATCACTGCCAACTTCTACAACATCCATGTAATATGCTTTTATGGTTGAAAGATCAACATTCGTCTGAAGTCTAGATATCCAAAAAATTGTTATACCCCATGTAGTTCACATCCATAGTTAAAGAAACCCCTCGTATAGAAATACACAAATAACATGTGGAAAAGAAAATAAAAAACTAAAGTTTCAACACATTAAGTGGTTTATTAAAAATATATAACATCAAAGTACGGGTCGTACCAAAACAAACAAATAAGCGATCTTCAGAGACTATTCTTCATGCTTTGGAGTTTCGTAAATTAAGGTTTAGAATAGGGTTTCCATCAATCTTCTTTAGTTGCCTCCAATACACTTCAAGCGCAAAAGCGTTCTGGCACCAAAGGGTGGTGTTTGTAGGAGCGATAAGACTAGTTGCTCTCTTTTTGTGTAGTACTCATGTAAGAAATAAGCAAGCGACATCGTTCCAAATTGATTTGTATATATTATCCCATGAGTGTCACATATGATGCCAGGTAGGCAAGAAACATGCATAACTGGCTATTACTGGTTTTAGTAATAAAATAAAGTTGTTTCAATAATTTCATTGAAAAACTTGTCATTTTAGCACTTTCAAGACAATGGGTAAATGAGTAATGTTTTGACGATCATTTATGGCATAGGGTCAAAGATCAAATTAGAACTTAAAAAAATGTGAAAAAATAACTTTTTTCCAATGAAATATACTTACATTTGGATATTAAAAACATCAAAATAAACATATGTTTCAATGAAATGGTGCCATCTTCCTACATACAGTTCAA